CTGATACCCAAGTATTGGAGGAGACAGGAGGTGCCGAACATAAAAGAGTGGGTGGATAGGGAGGATCAAATATGTAAATTGGTGGAACTTTGTCATTTGAATGAAGATAAGATGGAGAGTCACCATACAAGATGGAACAAATGGGAGGAATTCAAAAAGTCAAGGCTAGCCTTAGAGGTTATGGAGGATTAACATAGAATAATATGGAAACATATTTTGTTCTTCTTTTATAGGGATTACGATCTCCAGAAATAAACAAGAAAATGCAGAGCAGAAGGGGTTAGGGATTGGATGGGGGGGATGGGTGGTAAATAGGTAGGGGGAGGGGGGGGGGAAGGGATGAAACGATAAATGTTTTGATAATATGCTAAGGTTTTAATGAGTATGTTTGTATAACTTGTTTATCTGAAAAATTAATAAATATTTAAATAATAAAAAAAAACCCAGTGTGAATAATAGCATTGTATAAAACCTGGAAACCAGAAGCATGCCCATCATGGAACTCCTTAGGTTCAAGTGGATGATAGTACCAGCTGGTGTTTCAGGGGACATTCCCCTTTCTTCAGACCAGAGGAGGGACATACCCTCACTTATCTCCATATCTATAAGCGTTGTGGGGAAATTGCTTTTTAAAGTTCAAAGCACAGGACATTGAAATATACCTTCTTCAGTAGCAGAATCTTGGCAACCTGCCTGCTTTCTAATGTAAACAGTCAGCGTGGGTTTCCAGCCACATCCTCCAGGATCATGTAGGCCACTTCCCTGAACTTCTGGGTAGGGAAGCAAACACAGGAACCTGGAGGTTGCATGCCCTTGCAGTCATAACATTTTCTTGACATGAGGACACTGACTACACCTACAGGCACAGGCAGCCACATCTACATGCAAGGCATGCCCTCTGCTCCTTTTCCAAGACAGTGAGTGATGGACAGCATTTCTCAAGGCAAAACCTTGGAAGCCACTTGTCAATCACTTCTTCTGGAGGAGGAGCAAAGGGTTTGTCTTCTGGTTGCCCTCTCAGTCTTCCTGTGCCTGTTGGTGCAGGAAGCGCCATGACGTCACCCTTGGTCAAATCCTGGAAGCATGCACAGAATGGTGGCTCCATAAAAGCAGCAGCAACATGGCTCAGTGGCTAAATGATTAGCACATCCACCTGGAAGTCCTAGGGTTGTTGGTTCAAATCCCAGCCACAGCACCTCCTGCCTGAAGTTTGCATGTTCTCCCTGTGCCTGTGTGCGTTTCCTCCAGGTACTCCGGTTTCCTCCTACACTCCAAAGACAAAAACGTTTTCTTGAGGGGGGGCCTGCCAGGTTGGCTTTATGGGGCCCTGTGGTTTCTAGCAGCAGCCCTGCCCCCTCTACACAGTCCCTTAGGGAAACATGCACAGATGAGGCTGTCAATCCCCTGCTGTGTGCTGCATGGAGGGAGGGGAAGGGGCAGTGCCATCGCCAGGGATTGCTTGGTGTCAGATGTGACTAATACAGCTAGCAGAGGGAGGAGAGAATAGTTAGAAATCACACTACGTTCTTTGGGTTGAGGCAAATGCACACCGTAGAAAGTTATGCTTTGTTCATTTTTCCTATTAGAGGTTTAAAACCACTTTAAGAAGGGTCAACACTTAATGAATGGGCAGCACAGTGGCTAAATGGTTAGCATTTTAACCTGGTAGTACTAGGGTTGCTGGTTCAAATCACAACCATGGCACCACCTGCCTGGAGTTTGCATGTTCTCCCTGTGCCTGTGTGAGTTTCCTCCTACACTCCAAAGACATGCTGGTAGGTTAGTTGGCTCCTGTATAAATTGGCCCTAGTAAGTGTATGTATGAATGTGAGTTAGGGACTGTAGCAATTGTATGTACAGATAAGGACGCGGTCATCCATCTTGCTCAAGACCCTCCATCTTGTATCATTTCTCACTCCAAATCAGCTCCCCCCTCCCTCTCTGTCGAGTGACACGTGGTCCCTATGTGCTGGGTTCAGAAGTGCACAGGACACAGTTGGATATCCTTCATGGTTGTAAACCCAAATAGCTGATGCCAGGGTGTCTGGCAAACTCTTGCTCTGAAGCTAATCGTAAAGCCATAAACCCGTCAGTCACTGGACTTTAAACACATTCCAGAATAGCCGTAAAACATACATCCCATTTAAAAACCACTTTTCATAACTTAAAATAGGGATTTGGTCATAGCAGAGTTCCCCACCTAAACACCCCCTCCCAAAATGAGGCGATTGGTTCCCTGCTTTAAGGAGACACCCTGCTGGTGGACTAGAAAATAGGCTATCAGGCCTGAGAGAGATAAGTTGAAGAATTCTCCCTTTTAACATCGGAACCAACTTTGGGAGAAAAGACACCCTTTTGCTCTGACACTTGAACGCTGTTTAAACTGACGGCAAGTACTCTACCTCTCTAAACTTCTTTCTGTTATCTCTCTGTTGTGGTATTGCTCTCTGTATTTATATATATATATATATATATATATATATTGGCTACATCTTTTTCTGTAAATACTTTTATTGCACCATTTTGACCTTTTTAGTAATAAATCTTATTTTCTGAACAGTGTTGAACTGTTTCTAAAGCTCTTTAATGCAAACCAAGAATCTCTCTCTCTAAAGAGCGCTACTGTGTGTTTTAAACCTCTATATACATCTGTCTGCGGTGACAGTGTGTATACAGACGATTATTCAAACATCATAGTGTTACTGCTAAGATTGGCGAGTTTCCTCCTTCTCCATACAAAAAGGCTGTGGTGGGCAGTGTGAAGGGTTAATTGCGTAATTAACCTGACCCAGTAACAATCACTCCCAGGCACACAGGTTGTGGTCCGTTAGCTGGAAAACCTTTGTGCAGGGTGCAGCTGAGCGTGGCATTGTTACGCACGTGACAGCGCGGTTTTAGATTGGCTAGTCCTTCGGTCACGAGTTGGTGAGAAGGGCTGGGGTCTGACGCCGCGTTCATCACAGGGACCTTAGATTGTACACCCCTTGAGGGTTAGGGACTGATGTGAATGTACAATATATATGTAAAGCGCTGCGTAAACTGACAGCACTATATAAGTACCTGTAATAGAAACCTGTAAGGGAAAGTGCAAACCAGTGCAAAGGAGACCAACTGGAGGGATTGGAATTGTCAAATTCAATACATCAGGAAGCAGCACATATACATCTTTAACCTCAGCATTAGGAATTATGAAACAAAAGGTTTTAAAATCACCTTAAGGATCTTTGAAAATGAATAAGTTACATTCAAAGGGGGTCGGGGGTGGCTTGTTTTAAATGATTTCATTGTCCATAGTCTGGGCATGGGCTGACTTTTATAGCGGTACAAAACATTCATGACGTTTGTATCATCACCGGGGCCGGGACAAGGGGTAGGCAGGAGGGGAAGCTGCCCTGGGCACAGTTGGGGATTTGGAGGGTTGTGCTAGATCAGCAATGGGCAAACTACGGCCCGTGGGCCGTATACGGCCTGGCGGACCTTTTAATCCGGCCCGCGGAGCGTGATACTGTCAGGATGATCTGTCCCCCTCGACGTATCTGCGCATGTGCCAGAGATCGCCGATCGGCTGCTAATGCCTGAAACTGGCACATGCGCAGATACGTCGAGGGGGACAGATCCTCATAGGAGACAGATTTTCATGCTACACCGGAACGGCGCGGGAACACGGCGAGAGGAACGCGTGGAGCAAAGGTAAGTGAATTGACACAGGGGGGGCTTGGGGACTTAATATGGGGGATGAATTAATATGGGGAATGAATTACTATAGGGGGGATGAATTACTATATGGGGGATGAATTACTATGGGGGATGAATTACTATAGGGGGGATGAATTACTATAGGGGGGATGAATTACTATATGGGGGATTAATTACTATGGGGGATGAATTACTATGGGGGATGAATTACTATATGGGGGATGAATTAATATGGGGGATGAATTACTATATGGGGGATGAATTACTATGGGGGATGAATTACTATAGGGGATGAATTACTATAGGGGGGATGAATTACTATATGGGGGGTGAATTACTATGGGGGATGAATTACTATGGGGGATGAATTACTATAGGGGGGTGAATTACTATATGGGGGATTAATTACTATATGGGGGATGAATTACTATGGGGGATGAATTACTATGGGGGATGAATTACTATATGGGGGATTAATTACTATGGGGGATGAATTACTATATGGGGAATTAATTACTATGGGGGATGAATTACTATGGGGGATGAATTACTATATGGGGGATGAATTACTATGGGGGATGAATTACTATATGGGGGATTAATTACTATGCTTACTATGGGAGAATATTACTATACTTACTATGGATGACACATACACATCATTCATCTACTCTTGGTCCGGCCCCCGGGTCCAATATATGAACCCATTGCGGCCCTCAAGTCAAAAAGTTTGCCCACCCCTGTGCTAGATGGAGGGTGATTTGGAGGGGAATTTGTACTAGGAGGGTGTATTTGTGTTAGGAAGAGGAATTTGAGAGAGGAGGATTTGTGCTAGTAGGAATGATTGTAGGGGGTTTGTACTAGGAGGGGAAATTAGGGGGAGAATTAGTGTTAGAAGAAGGGATTTGTGCAGGGAGAGGGAGATTTGTGGAGCGAGCGGATTTGAGCTGGGAGGGGGGGGGGGATTTGTAATGGAAGAGGGTACATTTTTTTTGGGTTTAGGGAGAATTTTGACTTGCAAAGGGGGTAAGTGTGAATCAGGGGCGGACTGACCATTCGAGCACTCGGGCCCTGCCCGAGGGCCCGGGGTCAGTAGGGGGCCCCATGAGATGCCCCTGGTACCTTTCATTGGCTTTTCAGTCCGCCCCTGGTGTGAATATTAGTGTTTTAAATTTTTTGGGGGGGGTTGGAGGTAGGGGATTTTAGCTGACACAATGCTGACACAATGCTCATACATTTGGGGGGTGCAGTTTGACATCTTCACCTTGGGCGCTAGATGACCTTGTCCCGGTACTGATCATTACCTATAGTGTGCGAGAGCCGCATTCAGACCGCCTGCAGAAATGGTTTCAAAACTCGGCCCTTTAGAATGTTCCTGCTTCCTGTAATGGAAAATAAATGCAATTAATAAGACACATTGACGTGTATATAAACCAAAAGTGTTACATTTTGTACAGTCATGGCCAAAAATATTGCCCCCCCCCCACCGCAATTTCTGTCAGATAACGCACCACTTCACCCAGAAAATTATTGCAATTACAAATGTTTTTGGTATGACACAAAAAAGTGGAGAAACAAAAAGCCAAATATCATACATTCCACACAAAACCCCAAAAATGCACTTCGGGTGCAATTACCAGTTAACCCCTTCATGCCGGGGCCTCCCGGCCCTTTAAGGGTTTCTGAAGGCGGGAGGTGGGGCGGGGTTTAGGGTCCTGTGACCGCCATGACGCTCCATCACGGCGGTCACATGATCGGGAAAAGTCTCGAAAGAGGAGATCAGGACCTTTCCATGAGTACCGGACATGTGTGCTGGGAGTGCGCAGGGCGTGCGCTCTTGGCACATATGTCCTTTTTTAAAAGCGCAAATGTGCAGCTGCTCGGCGTCAAGGCCCACATTTGCGTGCGGCCGGCGTGAAGAGGTTAATAGCACTGCAAGTGTTGGTAGCACAGGGAGGGTGATGGGTGCAGTGGGGGGCAATTACTGGAACTGATCCCCTGCGTGGCTCGCTCTGCAGCAGCTAAAAGTCAGTGGGAAGGGGAGGAGAAGAATCCAGCTTTCAGCTGCTGCAGAGAGAGCCATACAGGGGATCGGTTCCAGTGATTTACCCCCAACCAGGGGCGGACTGACCATTTGGAAACTCGGGCACTGCCCGAGGGCCCGGGGTCAGTAGGGGGCCCCATGAGATGCCCCTGGTACCTTTTTTATAGGCTTTTTTGAGTTTGGGCAAGGACACAGGGGCCCCATGATCCCCTATTGCCCGGGGGCCCCATGAGTTGTCAGTCCGCCCCTGCCCCCAACCATACCAATCACCCTCCCTGTCCACATCTGATTCACCAGCTGCCTGGGCCCCCCTGCTGGCCATAAGGATTGGGGGTACTCCCTTATATATGGCCCTGAGAGGGGGTGTGTCCATTCCCTGCACTCAGGTCTCCAATTACACTCAGCTTTCCTCTCACAGGGAGGGTGATGAGTGCAGTGGGGGGCAATTACTGGAACTGATCCCTTGCGTGGCTCTCTCTGCAGCAGCTGAAAGTCAGTGGGAGGGGGAGGAGAAGAATCCAGCTTTCAGCTGCTGCAGAGAGACCCATACAGGGGATCGGTTCCAGTGATTGACCCTCAACCATACCAATCACCCTCCCTGTCTACATCTGATTCACCCAGCTGCCTGGGCCCCCCTGCTGGCCAGAAGGATTGGGGGTACTCCCTTATATATGGCCCTGAGAGGGGGTGTGTCCATTCCCTGCACTCAGGTCTCCAATTACACTCAGCTTTCCTCTCACAGGGAGGGTGATGAGTGCAGTGGGGGGCAATTACTGGAACTGATCCCTTGCGTGGCTCTCTCTGCAGCAGCTGAAAGTCAGTGGGAGGGGGAGGAGAAGAATCCAGCTTTCAGCTGCTGCAGAGAAAGCCATACAGGGGTTCAGTTCCAGTGATTGACCCCCAACCATACCAATCACCCTCCCCGCCCACATCTGATTCACCCAGCTGCATGGGCCCCCCTGCTGGCCAGAAGGATTGGCGGTACTCCCTTATCCACGGCCCTGAGAGCGGGTGTGTCCATTCCCTGCACTCAGGTCTCCAATTACACTCAGCTTTCCTCTCTATGCTGTGCAGTGTGTGACATCAAATCCCTGTGCAATGCCTTATGCTATGGTACTGTCTAGTCAGCAACTTTATCATTCATTGAAGTGGAATTGCAAGATATCAGTAACCAATCTTAAACCTGCCTCCACCCCCCTTCTAATACCTATCCGAACTAAGCTGCGGAAGAAAGATGCATACAGATACCTATTAGGCTGCTCCATTCCGGTCATGTGATTAGCTCTCCTCTGTCAACTGGCAATGGTTTTAGGGGAGAAGAGAGAGCGCCGATAACTGATGGGTCATAGTAAGCCTATGGGTGATGACACCACTCAGGCATTCCGGCCATTGCCGCTCTCCTATCCCTTCTGGCCATCGCCGGCTGACACAGAGGAGATCACATGAACGGACCAGGGCCTCTGCTGTCAGTTTGACAGCCGGGATTTGCCAGCAAGAGTGGGGTGGGGGGGGAGAGTGACAGGAATTATGTAGTATGCTCTCTAAATTTTAATGAAGTTTGAGTCCATGCGCTATGCAGTCCATGAATGGGAACGGATACATCAGGCTTTTATTTGGTACAAAATTTTAACCGCTTCCTGTCCGCCCTATAGCAGTACGGCTACAGGGCGGCACGGGTGCGCACAATCACGTGTGTGTGTGTGTGTATATATATATATATATATATATATATATATATTATATATATATATACACGTGATTTTGCATTTCTGGGTAGATGGTGCTCACAGGGCGCACGCGCGCCCCTACCCACGCCACCATTCGTGGCTGCGGCTGTCAATCACTGGGTCCCGGCCGGTGATTACTCGCCGACACCCGGTGATTGCTGAGCATCTCTGAAAACAAAACAGTTCTCCTCCCTGTCAGCTTGTGCACACTGCTTTGTTTGGCTGCAGTTATGCAAAGCAGTGTGATTACAGTGAAGCACTAACACAGCTCCTATTGTGAAACAGCACACAGTTAACCCTTTGATCGCCCTAGATGTTAACCCCTTCCCTGCCCAGTGCCATTAGTACAGTGTCAGTGCTTTTTATGGATCTGCTGTATCATGGGACACAGCTGATTACTTGGTAAAAGACCGCTGTAATTGGCCCTTTACCATGTCATGTGATCAGCTGTGTCCAAATTGACCCATGTATGGCCGGCCTTAGATAAACCGCAAACATTCCTGCAACCGGAACTAAAATATTTGTTTGTAATACATGAATTCCTATATCGTTAGCTCCATCTAGTGGCCAAAATGCAGTATCATTTTTCAGTGAGGTATTTCAGGAAACTCTACCACATTTCGACCACTAGATGGAGCTGATGATATAGGAATTCATCTATTACAAAAACTACGGGGCAGTTTCGTCCAGCTTGCAGGAATGCTTCTGACAACATTCATCCAACATTCATCGCTTTATATGCAGACCCCCAAGTTTTATTCAGGTACTTGCAATAGATGCATTTTAACCCCTTCACTCCTGAGGGTAAAACAAATCTTAAAGCCTAAGCACAATTCTGCAACTTTGGCAGCAAAACTGTACATCTCATCCCAACTACTTTGTGCATCCAGGTGCATTATAGCTTGTTTTTGTTTTTCAGGACAAATTGGGCTTTCATTTGGTGGTAAATAGTAATAGATATTTCCTGATTTATTTATTTTTTATTATTAATATTATTATTATTATTATTATTATTATCAAAGGAAAACTAACCAAAAATAGTTTAAATTTTTTTTTATGAATTTAGTTGTACATTTCTTGCTATTACCATAACCAACCATCAAAGAACAACCCCAAATCATTTCTCCTGCTCCTGACGAACGCAGTGATACCACATATGTGTATGCTAGTTGTTGTTTGTACCCGTAGTACAGCCCAGAAACAGTAGTGTGCTTTTTATTTATCCTTTTTATCCTGCCACTAACTGACACTGACACTAATTAAAAAAAAAAAATCCTGACAAAAAAAAAATTACTGAGCCTTCACCCTGACCTTGACCTTTGACCCTGACCTTGTCCCAAACACTAACCCTGGTACTGACCTAGATCAATCCTTGATCATTTTTATTCAATATTCTATTTCATTTTTCTATTTTTATTTTATTTATTTAGTCTCTGAAAGGACAGAAAATACAATGTATCTCTCTCCTCCATTCAAGAGACATAAAACATGGGGGGCGGGCATCACAGTGACTGATCACTGTGATATCCAATCAGAGGCTTTCACAGAAATCATGTGTGAGGCTTTCACAGTGATCCTGATTCCTGGTCCTGATGGGATCTTGATTCTTGGTCCTGATGGGATCCTGATCCTGTTCCTGATTCCTGGTTCCTGATAGGATCCCGATTCCTGTTCCTGATGGGATCCTGATTCCTGTTCTTGATGGGATCCCGATTCCTGTTCCTGATGGGATCCCGATTCCTGTTGGGATCCCGATTCCTGGTCCTGATGAGATCCCGATTCCTGGTCCTGGTGGGATCCCGGTTCCTGGTCCTGGTGGGATCCCGATTTCTGTCCCTGATGGGATCCCGATTCCTGTCCCTGATGGGATCCCGATTCCTGTCCCTGATGGGATCCCGATTCCGGGTCCTGATGGGATCCCGATTCTTGTTCCTGATGGGATCCAGATTCCTGTTCCTGGTGGGATCCAGATTCCTGTTCCTGGTGGGATCCAGATTCCTGTTCCTGATGGGATCCAGATTCCTGTTCCTGATGGGATCCAGATTCCTGTTTCTGATGGGATCCCGATTCCTGTTGGGATCCCGATTCCTGGTCCTGATGGGATCCCGATTCCTGTTCCTGACGGGATCCCAATTCCGGGTCCTGATGGGATCCGATTCCAGGTCCTGATCCGATCCTGATTCCAGGTCCTAATCGTTAGAACGGGACCCTGGGCTCTCACTGATAACCCAGTCTTTGTGCTGGGACCGTGTCATGCGGCGCGCTCCCAGCACAAGTCAGACAGACAGGTACACATATTAGCGGTCCCACAGAAAAAAGCCCAGTCCAGCAGGGCCACTAATTTGCACACACTCAGCTCCAAGGGGTTCAAATAAGTAAAAAAAATATATGCAAATTTAAAAAAATGAATACTTTTTTTTTTTTAAAGTCTATTTTTTATGAACCAGAACAGTTTCAGTGACAGTTAAGGAAGACGTTTAGAGGATTTTGTTTTTGTTGCTGTGATTTTAAGATAAGTTGGACCTCAGTTGGGGTGTCCTGACACGGGCATTAGGATCTGAGACTTTTACATTAGCTACATATATTCAAACATATATTCTCCAGATCAACA